AAAACCACAATGAGATAACTACCACCTTTCCCCAGTCAGAATGGCTATCATCAATAAATCAAGAAACAACAAGTGTAGGTGAGGTTGTGGAGAAAAGTGAATCCTGGTGCATTGCTGGTGGGATTGCAGGTTGGTGCAGCCACTATGGAAATCAGTATGGAGGTATCTCAAAAAACTGGAAATGGAACTGCCTTATGATGCAGCAATTCCACTCTCAGGTATCTATCTAGAGAAACCCAAGACACTAATTCAAAAAAATATATGCACCCCTATGTTTATTGCAGTGCTATTTACAATAGCCAAGACTTGGAAACAGCAGAAATGCCCATTGGTAGACAACTGGATTAAGAAACTGTGGTACATTTATACAATGGAGTATTACTCCACTATAAAGAAGAATTAAATCGTACCATTTGGGATGATACGGATGGACTTAGAGACCATTACGTTAACTGAAATAAGTCAGTTGGAGAAAGACAAATACCATATGATTTCACTTATATGTGGAATCTAAAAAACTGAATGAACAAGGAAAGTAAACAGAAGTGGTCTCAGAGATATAGAGGAACAACTGATGGCTGTTAGTTGGGAGTGGGTGGGGATGAGGGAGAAGGGGAAGTGGTTAGACAAGATAAATACACAACTACAATATTGCCACAGGGACATGAAAGACAGTTCGGGGAATATAATTAATAATGTTGTAAATATTTTGTAAGATGTCATGTGGTCACATGTCTTGCATCATGGATGGGGAAGAGGCTTGAACACTGCACTGTACACCTGAAGCTGATGTTGTATAATATTGTATGTCAATTATAAGTGAATATATATATATATATATATAGTCATGGGACGTGGAGTATAGTGTGGGAGTGGAGTCTATGGAATTGTAATAGATATGTATGATATTGGGGGAAGTGGGGAGGCGGATTGGGGGAGGGGAGTTGTCACTTCAAGGGGTAAAAAGTATAACTATTGCACTGTGTTGTACAGCTAAAACTAATTCTAAAAATGTATATTTCATAATAAAAAATAATTAAAAATATAAAATAAAATATAAAAAATCATGTGATTATATCAATAGATGCAGAAAATCATTTGACAAGACACAACATCCATTTGTGATTAAAACAGTTAATAAAATGGGTATAGAAGGAAAATACCTCAACATAATAAAGGCCATATATGACAAACACTCAGCTAATATACTTAATGGTGAAAAGCGGAAAGCCTTTCCTCTAAAATTAGCAACAGGACAGGGTTGCCCCCTATCACCACCATTATTCAAAATAGTATTGGATGTCTTAACCAGAACAATCAGGCAAGAGAGAAAAATAAAAGGCATCCAAATTGGGAATGAAGGAGTTAAACTGTCACTTTTTGCAGATGACATGATTCTTTTATGTAGAACACCCTAAAGATGCCACCACAAACTATTAGAAACAATAAAAGAATACAGTAAAGTTGCCGGCCACAAAATCAATGTACAAAAAATCCATTGCATTCCTATATACTAACAATGAAATTTCAGAAACAGAAATGAAAAAAAAATCCTTTTGCCATTGGAACAGAAATAATAAAATACCTAGCAATAAACTTAAGAAATCATGTGCAGGACCTATACACTGAAAAATATGACATTCTTAAAAGAAATTGAAGATGACACAAAGCAATGGCAAGATATTCCATGTTCATGAATTGAAATAATCTGCATAGTTAAAATGGCCATATTACCCAAAGCAATACAGATTTAATGTAATCCCCGTTGAAATTCCAATGACATTTTTTAAAGAAATAGAACAAAAATCATCAGATTTGTATAGAATCAAAAAAGACTCCAAATAGTCAAGCAATCCTAAGAAAAAAGAACAAGGCTGGAGGCATCACACTCCCTGACTTACATTTGTACTACAGGGTAACAATAATCAGCATGGTATTGGCAGAAAAAGAGACACACAGACCAACGGAATAGAACTGACAACCCAGAAACAAACCTGAATACATATGGACAGGTCATTTTTGACAAAGGAGCCAAAAACATACAATGGAAAAAAGAAAGGCTCTTCAATGAATGGTGCTGGGAAAATTGCAACGCCACATGCAAAAGAATGAAACTAGACTGCTATGTGTCACCATATACCAAAATTAACTCAAAATGTACCAAAGACCTAAACATAAGTCCTCAAACAATAAATTGCATAGAAGAAAACATAGGTACTAAACTTATGGACCTTAGGTTTGAACAGGATTTTATGAATTTGACCTCAAAGAGAAGGGAAGTAAAAACAAAAATAAGTAAATGAGATTCTATCAAACTAAAAAGCTTCTGCACAACAAAAGAAACTATAATAGCAACAAAACAAAGAGGTAACCAAGTGAATGGGAGACGATATTTGCAAACAGCTTCTGCAATAAGGGGCTAATATCAAAAACATATAAAGAACTTGTACAACTCAACAAGAAAAAAAGAAACAATCGATTTAAAAAACAGGTAGAGAACCTGAACAGACACTTCTCCCCAAAAGACATACAAACAACCAACAGATACCATGTTTTCCCCAAAATAAGACCTAACCGGAAAATAAGCCCCAGTTAAGATCGTCAGCCAGACATGACTGTTGGAATAAATGTAGATTTTTGTACATGAATAAATGAATAAATGTAGATTGTTGGAGCAAAAATTAATATGACTCGATCTTATTTTTGGGGAAACACGGTATATGAAAAAAATGCTCAAATTCACTAGTTATTAGGAAAATGCTAATCAAAAACACAATGATATATCACCTCACACCTGTTAGAATGCCTATCATCAAGACAAATAACAACAAGTGTTGGAGAGGCTGTGGAGAAAAAGGAACCCTCATACACTGCTGGTGGGCATATAAATTGGTACAGCAGTTTCCCTTTCATGGTCATTTTGACTTTGGGGAAGAGTCAGAAGTCACATGGTGCCAGATCCAGTGAATAAGTGGATGGTGACACACCACAATGTTTTTATTTGACAGAAATGACTGTACCAGAAGCGATGCGTGACATGAAGCATTGTCATCAGGGAGGATGAAGTAAAGACACTCACAAAAGAGGACTTCCAGAACTGCTTCAGAAGGTGACAAGAACGATGGGATAAGTGTGTCCAAATGAGGGGGAGTATTTTGAGGGGGATGAATGGCAATGTGTCTTTTGCTCTGATAATCTTTTTTTTAATTTAAACATCCACTGTATTTTTCAATCACACCTCGTATATATAACACAGTCCTGGTATTCCAATATGTTAGTTGTTTTTCATATTGATCTGTTCCTGACTTATGGTTTCTCCTCGTTTAACTTTTTTTTTAAATTTGGAGTTAATTCTTTAGCTAAGTGACCTCACCATTTTACAGTCGTTTGAACTGTGACCACACTTCTATACTGTAGTCCTGGGATTCCAAATTCTCTCACGTGACATTTCCCTACCCATTGCCCAGCGGATACAGTAAGCTTTTTGATACTTTCCCACGTTGATGGTGCTAATTTCTCTGGCTCTCCACAACCTTCCAAATTTATATTAGTTCTACTTCACAGGCAAGGAGACCTGTGGTCTGGACTCTCGTATCCATGTCATTATTATACTTCAGCCTATAATTATTTAGGCTTCTATCTGGTTCTGATATACCCATTAGTAGTTTCAGTTTAATTCCTACTCACTACTAAATTTAAATTAGTTGGTTTCTGGCTGATAAGTATTGTTCATTCTTGTTTTAAATTTGGTTACATATTTATATTATAATCATTCCACCGTTATTTTCTACATTTTTTTGGGGGGGAGTTGTAGACTGCAGATACTTTTGTGGGTTCTTAATCTGCCAGAATGACTAGTGGTCAATCCCAAAATAAGAATAACTCAAAAAGCAAAAAGGACACACAGTACTAAAAAGTCTAGTATAGAGAGATGACCCCTTACAAATCTGATTTAAACCAAAAAACTCTAAGGATACCCTACCAGAATTAATTTGCTTTATTAAATGACCCCTAAATTCAAACCAATCAACCATTTAGCAAAGAAAAGAACTATTACTATATTCTAAGCTTTGCCTGTATGTACTGTCAAATTAAAATGAAACTTTCTATTTAATTATCCTGGATATATACCCCAAAATCTGAAAACATTTATCCATAAAGATATATGTATTTCAATATTCATTGCAGCTTTATTTACGGTGGCCAAGACATGGAAACTGCCAAAGTGTTCTTTGATAGATGGTTGGATAAAAAAGATGTGGTGCATATACACAATGGAATACTACACTGCCATAAGAAAAGATGAAATAGTGCCATTCGTGACAACATGAATGGATCTTGAGATTATTATGCTAAGTGAAATAAGTCAGACAGAAAAAGTCAAGAACCATATGATTTCACTGATATGTGGGATATAAAACTGAAAGCAACAAATGAACAAGACAAACAAAGAAACAAACAAAAACTCATAGACACAGACCATAGTTTAGTGGTTACTAGAGGGTAAAGGGGGAGGGGTGGTGGTAGATGAGGGTAAATGGGATGAAATACATGGTGATAGAAGGAGAACTGAGTCTGGGTGATGAACACACAATGTGATATACAGATGATGTACTACAGAATTGTACACCTGAAACCTGTGCAACTTCACTAACAATTGTCACCCCAATGAACTTTAATTAAAAAAAATAGTACACTTGAAGGAATATGCTACCAAAGAAACAAATTAATAAGTATAAGTTTGTTTATGTTTACTTTCACTTTGGTGATACCACAATATTACTCTAAAGTTGGGACCAGTATTTTTGACAAGTACCTAAGCTAATATAAATTAAAACCAGCAACAAACATAGGTAGCTATACATCTATTTGAAATACTTATATTATGCTAGTGGCAGGCATGACACAAAAAAAAGTAGAATCAAACAATAATCTGTATGTAACAGCATTCCATGAAGATTTCATTAATACTACTACGAATAATAATTAAAGCAACATACGGTGGGAAATGCTTGGCATGTCTGGTTTATTTCCTTCTGTTTGTACAGAAGTTTCTGGCCGACGTACAGGAATTCTACAAAAGATGAAAAAAAAGAAGGATAACCAATAGTTATAAAAAGGAGATATACTAAATTGAACAAAAGAAATGAATTGCTACAATTCAGAATTTATTCTAATCTAATAAATTTAGAAAATATATATGTTTAGTTTCTTAAAGTGATGCATTAAACATTTAAGAAAAATACTTTCAAATTATGAACAATTATCTATACATAATTCAAATATTGCAATAGTTTTAAATATTCTTTTAAGTAGTATTCCACAAAGGAAGTACTCAACTTTATTAAATATCAGCTAAAGACATATATATCTAGCTATATAGATATATCTATAGATATAGATATATAGCTATAGATATATAGATATAGATAGATACACACACACACACACACTCTCGCACACGTGTTGCACGTATTTTATTCTCTATGATAGGAATTTAAAAATTAGTTCAATAGCTTATTTTCATGTTTGCTTTATTCAAATATTCTGGAAAACTAGAAAAACTATCTGGCCTAACTTTTCACCCTCATTCCAGAGTTTTTTTATAAGCCTCATGCTACTTCAAATCTTCAAGCTTTTCTTTCTGAGCAGAACAATGCTATACCCACTTTCCTTTGCCTGGTTATTTCACTCAGGCATCATTTCCTATAAGAAGCCACCCTTGATCTCTAGTCAAGGCTCACACTGCTTCTTGTATATGCTCTCATAGCACCAGGACTAAACTTCTATCAGCATTCAGCACACTGTACTGAAATTCCAGGTTTATCAGTTTGTCTCTTCCACCCGATTCTTCTATAATCACTACGAAAGTATAGACTTTATTTATTTTTGTATCTCCACATAATATCTGCTCACTGTTCATTGAACTGAAATGAATGGAGAAAAAAGGAAGCATCTTATTTTGAAGCTGAGAAGAAACCTGCTTTCATAAAGAAAGATTTCCATCTTATGGGCTTTTAGCATACTTCTGTGGTGAGTTTTTTCTATCATTGTATTCCAAAACTAAAACCATAAAATAAAACAGAAGTGTCATATTGTAGAATGCCACATAATATTGCTCAACTTATTTTATCAATAGATGTGTCTCTTATAAGAGTAGTATTCTTCATTTTACTAGTGAGTTATTAATAAACTAAAAAGAAGTAGCTTTCATGAAGGAAGAATTCATCTATTTAATTATAGAACTCCAGCAAATGAAAACATATTTTATAGTTGTAGTTTTAATTTTTTTTCAATTATTGAAAATATGGTATTTCTAGAAATTAGGAAACTGAAAAAAATCAACTCTGGGAGAAATGTAACTAATAAAAATAGTTAAATTATATGTATTTTGAGATCCTTAAACAGCATGTTTGTACTTTTTAATACATGTGATTATAATTTTTTTATCTGAAATAAATTAGAAAAAACAGTTTTTCAAACTCTAGGAGCACCATTATATTGTACAGAATTTTGAAAAGTGCCTTAGGAGATTTTTACTGGAATATGTAATCATTCATTTGTATGACTTAAATGTCTTAAAGGTGCTAAATGACAGAAGTGGAGTATACAATGTCTATGGGTATCAACTGAAAAAACTGAAAACAGAGAGATTAAAAAAATGAAAAGATAAAATGTATAGAAGGATAACTGAGGACAGAAAGGGATGCGAGGGCTGAAAGTAGAGAATATAAAGATGCATATGGTGGGTAGTGGCTGAAAGAGTTTTGAGATGCATGATAGAAAAAAACCTCGATTGCCTTGAAGAAAATATTGGTAGAAATATGGATTTTGAAGGAGAATCTGTTGAGGGCTCAGAAAGAAAAGAAGAAAGCTTTGACAAAGCTTCTGTTGTCTTAGAGAATACACATATTGTCATGAAAAGAATATTGCTAGAAATATTACTGTAAAAGGTGCTTCTGGTGAGGTCTCAGACAGAAATGAAGAATGTGCTTTTGGAAACTGGATGGAAGGTGATCCTTGATATAAAGTAGCAGAGGACTTGGCTGAATTCTGTTCTGTTGGATGGAATGTGAAACTTGTATGCAATGAACTTACATATTTAGCTGAACTTCTAACCAATGTGTTGAAGGTACTCCTTGCTGCTTATAGTAAAATATGAGAGAGTTTAAAACAAAATTATTAAGAAAAAAGAAACCAGATCTTCAATACTTGGGAAATTCTCAACCTATTCATATTGCAAAAAATGAGAAAGTTTGCTCTGGAGAAAACACCATGGATGTTGCTGGACAACCATTTGCCCAAGAGATTAGGTTTATGAATTGTGGATCTAATCAACCATTTCAGTAGGCATGCTACTAGCTTAGGCTGGAAGGGACATAGGTGGGATGGAATGAAGAAATTAAATGAGCCAACAGAGATATTCAGCTGTGATCATATATTATCCTTCAAAAAATGTAAGAATGATCCAGAGGGTGTGGCCCTTTCCTCAGTTCCAGAAGGCAGGGCCACCACTCAGTGCCACAGTGATGGGGCTGTCATCCTGGTGGGCCCAGAGGACATAGTATCATGCCAGAAAGGATAATTTTGAAATCTTCAAATCAAATGGAATTGGCCCTGCTAGGTTTCAGATTTACTTGTGACCCATGATCCCTTTTTTCCTTCCAATTTCTCCCTTTTGTAATGCCTATCCTGCCATTGCATTTTAGACAGATAACGAGTCTAGTTTCACAGGATCAGACATGGAAAATAATTTTGCCCCAGAATGAATCACCCTGCATCTCATTCATACATGATTTAGATGATATTTAGATGACATTTTGGTCTTAGAGTTGATGTTGGTGTGGGTTAAAAATTTTGGGGATGGTGTGATAGGGTGAATGTATTTTGCATATGAGAAACAAATGAACCTTTAAGGGAGAGAGGACAGATTGTTATGCGTTGAATTATGTCCCCACCAAATATCAATATGACTACCAATATGTAAGCAATTATATCTTCAGGGATCCTCAGAATGTGACCTTATTTGTAAATAAGGTCACTGAAGATGTAATTGGTTAAGATAAGGTAAGACTGGAGTAGACCAGCATTCCAGAGTGGATCCCTAATCCAATATGGCTGGTGTCCTTACACAAAGGGGAAATTTGGACACAGATGTGCCAACAGGGAGAAAGCCATGTGAAGATGAAGGCAGAGATTGGGATAATGCTTCAGTAAGCTAAGAAATGTCAAAGGTTGCCAGTAAACCACCAGAAACCAGGGGAGAGGCATGGAACAGATTCTATGAGGTGTGATCAAACAATATGGTGAACGTTTAAATAAGAAAATATATTATAGTAAAAGACACGTTGCCATTAATTCCCCTCAAAATACCCCCTTCAGAATAATTTCTGAAGCAGTTATAGAAGTGCTGTTTCATGAGTGTCTTCAGTTGTGCTGTCGTGGCTGCCTCGATGTCCAAATCGATACAAAACATTTACTTTTCATCATCATTTTTACTCTGGAGAAGAGCCAGAAGTTGCACAGTGCTAGATCTGGTGAATAAGGTCGATGAGGACATACCTTAATGTTTTTTTTAAAGATTTTTTATTGGGGAATTAGGGGATGGGAACAGCACTGGGGAATTGGGGAAGGGGAACAGACAAGTTGCTGTCCTTTTGTTCTTCAGTCTAGTTGTGGAGGACGTTGCTTCACTGGCCCAAGGTGGCACCATCATTGCGCTCTTCCCGGGCGAGGCAGATCAGTCGCCGGCTTCTGGACGGCTGCTCACGGTGGCTGCTGGCTACACACGGTAGCCCATGGCAACCCACTGCAGCAGGGGCTGCAGCCTACGCCGTTGCCGGAGACTCATGGCAGCCCAGCTCCAGGTTGAGCTGTTGTTCAGCATCTAAGCTGTGGAGGGCGGTGTCACTGGCCCTCATATGTGGGATCCGAACTGGGGCCCTCTGGCGTCCCAAGCCAGTTCTTAACCATCGCGCCACTCGGCCGGCCCAATACCTTAATGTTTTTGACAGAAATTGCCGTACCAGGAGCGATGTGTGACACGGACCCTTTCTGGTGTGATCACAAAATATAGTGAATGCTGCTGCCGGGTGCCATCCAGTGGAAAAGTAGGGATCTTTAATATGAGGAAGTGGCACATCGAACCTTAGTCACAGTGTGTGACAAGTTTCAACTTGTTCAGTGCAGTCAGTCGGGTGGGTGTGAGCTACAGTTGAGAGAAGGTGTGTTTTAACGTGTGTTGTAAATCGTCCTCCATCATGACAATGCTCCATGTCACACATCGCTTCTGGTACAGCAATTTCTGTCAAATAAAAACATTACAGTGTGTCCTCATACACCTTATTCACGGGATCTGGCACCGTGCAACTTCTGGCTCTTCCTCAGAGTCAAAATGATTCAGGACTTCGAGGAAGACATGACAATGCAACTGAAGACTCACGAAAGAGGACTTTCAGAACTGCTTCAGAAAGTGGCAAGAATGTTGAGATAAGTGTGTTCGAAGCGAAGGGGAGTATTTTGAGGGGGATTAATGGTAATGTGTCTTTTACTGTAATACATAATTTTAATTTAAACATTCACCATATTTTCTTCATCACACCATGCACATTACAGCTCTCATTAGGAACTCATCCTGCAGATACCCTGATCTCAGATTTCGGCAGCCCTAGAAAACTAAAATGGCTTCTAGTAAAATCGCTCATTTTACAGGGTAGAAACAAACCCAAAAAAACATAATGTGCTATGCACAGAATTAATACAAATAACTTACATTTTGGTATATTGCACCTGCACAATCCTTTTTTTCTTGGCAGGGCTCAAACTTGTATTTTTAGTTTGAGAACACTGAGAACTCATAGAACCATCATCTTGGTGCTGTTTACCATTTACTTCCTGACTTTGACTTTCTCTTTCAGCTGCCTGGGATGCTGTTGGTCGGTTACCATTCTAAAACCAAAAAATTAGAGAAAACATTTTAAGCTTATTCATAAAAATTATTTTTCTCTTAAAAGTCTACAATTTTAGTTTATCCATTTTTCATAATCTTAAGAGTTGTGATAAAATGTTATAACCATAACACTGCTTTTATAAAGATGATTTATCCAAATCCATCTGCTATTATTTTTAAAAGGAAGATAAAAATTCTTCTTATATTAGTATAGCTTAAAGGTTGGATTAGATGCATATTTCCACATGGATAGTAATCCTAGAAATAATTTTTAAAAGATAAACTCATGGCAAAAATTAACTTATTTGTCTTGATTGTGCCTAGATTTCAGAAGTAGCATCTTCTACTAGAGCATGTATTTTACAAGAGTCATTGCTAACTCTTACAGAACCTGGGTAAGACTGCCATGCCAGAGATAGAGGAAAAAACTTCCTGTGGAAGTGTTCCTACAATTTTGGTCTTGACAAAAGGTAGTAATAGAATATACGGGCATACCTCATTTCATGTGTCTCGCTTTATTGTGCTTAGCAGATATTGAATTTTTTTACAAATTAAATGTTTGTGGCAATCTGTGTTGAGCAACAATTCTATCAGCACCATTTTCCCAGCTGCCTCAGATGATGGTTAGAATTTTTTAGCAATAAATTATTTTTTAATTAAGTTATGTGCATTGCTTTTTAGACATCATGCTATTGCACACTTAATAGTCTATAATATGGTGCAAATATAACTTTTAAATGCACTGGGAAACCAAAAAAGTCATGTGATTTGCTTTACTGCAATATTTGCTTTATTGCAGTGGTCTGGAACCAAACCTGCAATACCTCCAAGGTATGCTTGTAATCATATATTCCACCTGGGAATTTAAAAAATGATAATCATGATAGGCTCAAACTATGCAGAAAGCAAAAACAAGATACCGAGTTTTGAGGGCTTATCAGAGGTTGGGACCTTCAGCCCAGCCTGCTCCAAAATAAATGACGGAAAAAGGAAACAAATAGAAAACAATAATGATTTTTTTTCTCTTAGGCTGGGAAAGGGGTATGGTCTAACAGTTTTGTTTTTGTTTTTTTGGCATGCTTTTGTATTAAAAACAAAAAAAAATAATGTTTAAAAAAAGAATACAATGAACAAGGTACCAATCGTAATTATGATCACAGTGCTTTCAGAGATATACTATTAACTCTGGCACCATACCCGAAGTGTTTCTGATGCTGAGGTACTTTCAGTTGCACTGCTATGGGGGATATACTTTATAACGGTAATTATCCCCTGAATTGCAATGCGCTTTTGTTCCCTATACTGCAAGTCTTCAATCTCCTTCCTCACTTCACTTATAGCTGTCAAGAGCGGCTCAACTGCAAAAGAGTAATTCCAAGAAAATTGTAAGTTTAAAGAACTGAAATGATAAAAATAAGAATTAGATTTGCAATGTAATTTCACAATATGAAATTATAAACTTGCTACATAACATAAATTTGCAAGACTTTATGTTTATATTTGGCATACCCCTACGTAATTTCTGTAAAATAGGCAAAACATATTTATCAGTTAAACTGTGATACAGTCTTCTAGCCTGGAATTTTAATTTGAAACAGAAATTTTGCATACCGAATGTAATTTATATATCATATTTCAGACTATAAAGTGTTGCCAAACCACTGCATAAAAACACGCATTTTAATATTTTTAAATATATACTACATATTGATGGCACTATAAAGTACAAGAGGATGTTAATATTTAGGTGATGACAGGTCAGTATTTCCAAGTTTCTCTTTTTTCCCCCAAAAACCATGCAATTATCCCATGGCTTTTTATAAAGAATATACCTATGTTAAAGTTTTCAGCTGTCATATCTTAACTGTACTAAAATAAATTAATTTTAGGTCTCTTATCAGTACTTATTCTGTATCTTGTTTATTTTGGTGTCATTTTTATTTAAAGGTAGCACTCAATTGTGTTATATTCAATATATATCACTCTACAAGAGCAGCATAATACAGTTTTCAGTATCTTGATATCAGATTTCCAGGGTCCCCATTGATATCTTTAATTGCTCTATGTAATGTCATAGAAGTTGAACTCTACTAAGGTCAGACTGGATCTCAATGATATCAAATCAAGACATTATTTCTAGTTAGTCATTGTCCATGTTCTTTCTCTTCTTCTAGTCTAATAAAATAAAAATATTAACCTTTAGGAGGTATGACATGTATTTTAGGTCCTCAAAAAGACACAATTATTATCAGTAAGTGTTGCTACACTTTGACTCACTCCCCTAAAATAAAAGAATAAAGATGACTAACTGATATAACACATACCATACACATAGCATACAAACATATTATTAAAAATTAGCAATTACATTAGTACCTTTAAGAGAACTTCTATACTTCGAAAATGTCTCTGGCACTGGTGGATAGGGGTAATATCCACCAATAACAGAATTCTTCACTTCCCCAGATTCAGTCTTTGTTTTAATCCACTGAATAAAATTTTTTACCCTGGTATCATTGGCACACAGCTGACCTCTATGACCTCTTTGCAAGAAGGTTAAAGTGCAAAAAAGAAAAAAAAAAGAAAGAAAAAAAAACTCACTGTAATAAACTGCATGGACATTTGTATAAAAACAGTTTAATATTAAAAGTTTCTTATGTCACCAAGAAAAGACAGTCTCTATGTCGCAAATAATTATACTTAATATGCATATAAAAATTATCAAAGAGAGTAAACAAATCTTAAGTCAAGAGCAAAATCAGACATATTAGAGTTTAAGTGGACTAAACTATAGCTGTCTACAGGATACTAAAAAGCCTTAAAAAAAACCAACTAATAATGTGGAATTTTTCTAACTATCCAAATGGTTGGCATTTTTTTTAATTGATTTTTAAATCATGTATTATCTTGAAGGTATGGCATCATGTATGAACTAAATTGCCTATCATTATAGCTCAACATTTAAATTCATGTTCTTAAAACATACTTAAAAGTGATATTTGCATCTCATGTTATTAATATATATTTATATCTGGTATTATTAGTATTTATAAAATGAGGTATCGACAAAGATGTGTGTTATACACATCATAGGACTCTTCTTTTGACAAATTTCCTAATTACCTATATGGTAGCATTCTAGAAAACACATCATTTCACACCATTCCCTCACTCATCTGGAAACTTGTATCTTTATTGTTTTCACATCCATTATCAAAGGCAATAGGGAAAAACAATGTACTTAGAGACAAGTAGTGAGACTCTTTTCTTCTTACTATATAAGTAAAATGTGAGATTCCAGGGCAAAAATTTGATACACATTTTTGTTTTATTTAGTACTTAAAATATTATTAATTGAATCCATATTGTGATATAGGCCCTTACAGTTTTCAATCAAGCAATTTATGATTATCTACCTTACATCAAGCAGGAATAAAGCTAGCCAAAGGATATAAACATAATTCTCCAGTACGTCACAAAATTATTGCTTCAATAGTAAATAATCTAGAAGCAATAAATTTCATAGGCTAAATATTCGTTGTGAAAACATTATTATCGTGATAAAGGAGGTCAAATAAAGTGATCTTGTGGTTGAATGTTGTAATATAAAAGTTAATTTAATGAAGAGAAAATATACTACATTTCCAATAAAGTATATACAAAGAAATTGCTCACCAGTAATAAACACGCGACTCTCATTTGTAGTGGTGAGGTAAAGCAGTTTAGGTACTTGAGTATCATTTCTGACAACTTTCAACTGTGTGCACATGAAATATGTCACTGTAGAAAATGAAAACAATTATGAAATTATTTCTGCATTTCAAAGAGGACATACCAAGATCAGGATCTAGCACAGTGATCCTCAAACTTTAATAAACATAGGAATAACCTAGGACAATTGTTAAAATGCAAATTAAGATTCAGTAATTTTAGGGTGGAGTTTGAGATTCTCCATTTCTAATAAGCTCCTAGGTGATACTAATGCTGCCAGGCCCCTGACCACACTTTGAACAACAAGGATCTAACACTTACCCTTTCCTTTGGATAAAGGATCTAACACTTATTTTTCCTTTAGAAAAAAAAAAAGAAAGTACAATAGCTGCACCTAACCGAAGTCACTGCTTGTTGCACAGTTGAAGGGTGCAAGAGTCTTTCTAATGGGGTGCACCACTGAATGTGAACAGTTATTTCCTACAGAGAAAGGAGCTTAGTTTCTACATGATGTTTTCACGCATTAACCCAATCTATCACTGATCCCTGAATTACTCTGACTCCTTCCACCAGATAGGGCTATACAGTATTACTTTGAATTTGTTTATGCAAGTGTTTTACATGTGTTGATCTTAATTAGATTTTAAGCCTCAACAACAGAGCTTATATCACCTGTTCTTTTCTGTTCACTTTGCTAACCAACTTGATAGACTAAAAAGAATCCCTGAAAATAAGATTATAATGTCGTCAGACTTCAACTACTTTCAAGAGCTATCCTTTTTTAATTATCTATCAGGTTATTTGGAAAAATTAATTCAAAAATTCTTAAAAATTTTAACTCATTACATGCCAAAAATAGTTATGGTCTTACAAACTAGGAAATGAAGAAATAAATGTAAATATCTGTAATCTCACAATAACAGTAGGTTCTCATTTAAAAATAAATGTTTCCCTAGAGCATGATAATAACTACAAATTCATTTTCTACCTCTCATATTTACTAGATCTTTATTTTTAGCAATGAAAAAAAGGAAATCTATCCAAATGACTAAGAATAATTCTGTAAATTGATATCGCTTCTCCTTTACTTCAAAAACTGTAAAAATAATGTGAGTATTCATGGTTAAAAATGTCAATATAGGAATATTACAAAATCTCTAATTTTAATTTCATGACTGTTAAAACTCAGACATTCAGATCTAACACTTCCTAGCTGTTTGACACCTAGGGAATTATTTAATCCTTCTGGACCTTTGTTTCCTCATCTGTAAATTTGTAAAAACATCAACTCTTTAAAAGGTAACTGGGAGTACAAAATGAGATAACATGTATGAGCATCTGGTACACAGTAAACACTCAATATTAGTTTCCCTTAGCTCTTCACTTACCTTAAAAGTTTATGCCCTACTACCAAAAGATTCTGGTATTATTCCAGAAGACCTCTGGTCGTGTTCCCCTTCATAGGCCTGAAGTCCCCTTAAGTACTCACCAGTCATTTAATGTTTATTTTTCCTTTACTCTTGGTCAAAAGATGAACATAAATTGTGATTGCTTTCAACTATTATATTAAAGAAAATCTCATCAAAGTCCACATAAACCTATCTTAGAAATTTACATTTCACATTATCATAAGAAATAGAACATGCATGCTCGGCAACATTTCTGTGAAAAATCATTATCCAAAACTTGTGTCAGTTTGTTGTTTAAAGTGGCTACAAAGAGAGGGAAACAGCCATAAAACCCATCTAAAATAAGGTAATGGAATTATTACCTTAGATATCATCTCTACCAATCATTTATGCCCTTTGAGAAGTTATATGAGAGGTTATAGCTTCATTCACCTTGGAATACCAGTCCTTGGTTTTGGCTAAACCTCTCTTTCTGCCCTCTCCCCCAATAGCTAGGGTGAGGTTTAGTTCTATTTATATATATTTAAAAAAATGAATCTCACAAATAGAAGGGTGGAATCTAATGAGCTAATATCTGAATGTTGCATAATACTGTTTTGCAACAGAGAATAAAGGGATAGAAGAACAGCCTTGTATATGGTCTCCAGGTCTCCTGATGTCTACAATTTCTACTATGTTGCTGATTTTTTAAAAAATTGCATATAGTCAAGAATTGGGAGTTTCCCCAATGTTGACAAGCATTTAACAATTGGTATGTTATTCATATAATTATTTGGAAAATAGTAAAATAGCACACCATATCCAAAATAGCTTTATGCTACAAATTGAAAGAAGGAAAATTTACTGAAGTTGTTAAAAGTACTACATCTACTTTTTTTTCTTATAATAGATCTGAAGACTAAGTCATTAAAATGTATAACAAGGCATACCTAAACTGTTTTCAAATAAATAAAATTAGTTGAAAAAATACCTATATATCTGACTGAATATAAGGGGAAAAAGCCAACACCAAAGTAAGTAAAATACTGACGAGCTGGTATAACACCACCACCCTAATGTTAATTTAATATTAAAATGGAATCATACTTGTCATTATCAGTATTTAATTACAAAGCCTGCTAAACTTCTACCAATTAATTCTACATTAGTAAAGTCTTCATTGTCTTTAATGGGGGTCTACCTAGTCAGTTTCCAAGTGTATACAAAGGGTATTGACAGCCTATGTTTTAGTTTCACTGACTCTTAAACTTTTATGTCTGAAATGTTAATAATGAGCATTGATAAAAGCACCTGTTTTCTGAAAAACTAGTTTCAATCCCAAATTAAATCTGAATAGAAAACCAGAAGGTGGTTAACATCTGCAGTACCAAATATAATATTAATAAAGAAAAATTTAAACATGCTATCAGACTGCACAAATTTGCTACCTCAATATCCTGACATTCCATAATTAAGTTTACCATTTTTAAGTTAATGCCCACACTTCCAAAAATAAAGATAAAAATATTGGAACTAAGTACTTGGGCAAATATTTTCAAAGATTTCTGGCTGAGATGTAGAAAACAGTTCTATTATAAATGGTTGTTCTGAAGTCCCGTCAGCAACGTGAATCCAGCGATGTGACCAAAAATCTTCACAGTTTTCTATAAGGATATAATATTATAATAAATGAAGACAACTGAATATGCATGTATGAACACAAAACTATTCACTTGTAATACCTTTTATGACTTTCAATTTCAAAAGCTTACCTTTTGACCCCCTTTCCCCTCTTCTACCACCCCATTCTCCTTCCCCTCTAGTAACCACTAAACTGTTGTTTGTGTCTATGAGTTTTCATTTCTTTGTTTGTCTTATTCCTTTGCTGCTTTCAGTTTTATATCCCACATATGAGTGAAGTTATATGGTTCTCAACTTTTTCTGTCTGACTTATTTCATTTAGCATAATACTCTCAAGATCCAACCAAATTCATGGTGATCGAAGGAGAACTGACTCTGGGTGGTGAGCACACAATGTAACGTATAGATGATGTATTATAGAATTGTATACATGAAACCTATGTAATTTTACTAAC